GGCTCCCGCTCCGGGGTTGGGGCGAGGTGAGGGCGGAAGGACTGAAGGATGGAGCACCAGGGGTGGATGGTAGCCCCGACCCACGCGGACTCCCTGAGTACTCACAGTTCTGATTCAGGGTCCAGCAGCTCAAGGGTCACCAAACTGAGCCCACAGAACGTTCTGAATCCAAGCCCCGCCCAGCCTCGCAGGCTTCTCTGTGCTCCTGGCTTCCTGGTGCTTCCTAAGTGTCAGATGGGAGCGCTTCACACGTGGCCCGTGGCTCCCAGGGGAGGTGGGATCTAAATGCCCTGGACCCTCATCGGGAAGGGAAGGGTGACCTCCCAGAAGGCCCCTCAGCGTAACAGGCCTGAGTCGAAAGGCCGGTTCCAGCAGGGCTGGACTGGGGGCCGTTTGGGGTGTGGCAGGTGGGCAGGAGTCTGCCCACATTTGGGGACCCAGAGGGCCATGGTGCTTAACCACAGAGGGTCTCGGAGACCACCCAGGCTACGGGCTTTGATGGGTGAGGTAGTGAAATGGGACTCTCTGGGGGGCTTTTCAAGATACCCCAACTGCCCTCGACTCAGAACAGGACGTTCCGGAGTGGGGTTCAGGCACGTGCCATTTGATACACGTTTCCCGCGTAATCCTAACCCGAATCCCGTTTCCCGGGAAGAGAGGCACTGACTTAGGTCGACCTTCCTACATTTCAGGTGAAGACAGGGAGCCCCAGAGAAAGAGAGCGTCCCGCCTAAGGTCCCGCGGAAGGTGTTCAGCCGACCCCGAGACGCCCTCTCCGTGTTTTTACGCTTTTTCCACTGAAGAACCCCACCCCATCGTCTCCTCTCCTGGACTCTTTCAAACCGAAAGAAGCGACTGCCTTCTTCCACTCCGTGTCTTGTACAAGCCCTCCGTCCAAACCACAGAGCTGGCCACACCCCAGTGTACGGCCTTGCCAAGAGCACCTAGTCCCACGGCCTGAGATTAGTCACCAGTGAAAACTGGCCCGAGGCCCCCAGGCTCCCTGGCTACCTGCAGACCAGGGAGTGACACGGCCCACCAGGCGACACTGAGTCTGGACCTGCCTGCCCAGGAGTCAGCCGGGTTCACCAGGTGAGCTCAGGCCGACAGCCTGCAGCAGGCCAGCCCGAGACGGCTGGACGGAGCACCCCAGGCGGAAGCGGAAGGGGTACCGAGGTCCCCATGTGTGTGCAGAACGGCCAAGGTGCCGTGTGGCCGCATCGTGCAGGACCGTGTGAATCCAGACGTTGGTCCTCCCGCCGAGCACCGTGGGTGAGCGGTCAGTGCACACACAAGGCACAGCCGATGGCTCTCACGCCGACTTCCTCTGGGCCCCTGAGGGTTTGCTGTTGCTATAAGAGATGCTCAATCCTCCTTCACTGGGTCTCTGAGGACTGGACAAGAGGGGCCTCCTTAAAGGAACAAAATGCTGAGTGTGAGAGCGGAAACGGGGGACAGAGGGACCCAGGCAGGGTGTAAGAGGCTGGGAGCCACGAGAAAGCTTTGAATCCCAAGGCGTTTGCTGGGCCTGGCTCGGGGCTGAGTGTTCGGAAGGCGGCTGGGGCCCGGTCTAGAGGTGGGTAGCTGTTTCATACAAGATGACTGAGCAGAAAACCTTTCTACAGGCATTTCCTGGTTTTCAAACGTCTTCATTAAGAAAAGGTTTGTTCATAGAAACAGGTGGCTCGGGGTTTCTGTGAGAACACTGCTTCCCTATCAACCCGCCCTGCGCCGTTCTGACCCGCCTCACTCGAGGGCACACACAGTCCTGATGCACTTACTGCCTGGCCCTCACCTCGGATCGAAAGAGGCCAGGCTGGGGTAGGCAGGCGCGTGTGGAGCCCTCGATGCTGCCTGCTGGGACGTCCCCTCCAGCCAGTGCCTTCTGGTGCGAGGAGCCTGGAAGGGGAAGGCATGACTCAGCTTTCCGGGCCTGGGCTCACCGTGGCGGGAGGAGGGGACGTGAGTGCCTGGAGGAGCAGCCCGACCCTTCTGGAGTGGGCCGGCGGCATCACCCAAGAGCAGGGAAAGAATGTCCTGGGTGACCACACCTCTCCTCTCCATGTCCAAAGTGAGTCTACATACACAGTGGGACACTATGCAGCTGTTAAGCCAGAAAGATCTCTTACCTTTGAGACAACATGGAGGGACCAGGAGAGTATTATCCTCAGCAAAACAAGCCAAGCAGAGAAAGACAAATACCACGTGATCTCACTTATTTGTGGAATATAATGAACAACACAAACTGATGAACAAAATAGACCCAGAGACACAGAAGAGGGGTACAGACTGTCAAACTTTAGAAGAGAGGGTGGAGGGGGAGGGAAGAGATAAACCACAGAACTTATATACACTCATATGGAACCAATGGACATAGACAACAATGCTGGGGACAGGGACGGGGGGCGGGGGAGATTGGGAGGAGGGTGTCATTGGGGGAAAAAGGAGAAACATCTGTAACAAAAATAAGTATAAAAATAATATAAAAGACCTATGGTCACAGCATTCAGCAGATTGATCACACATCTTTGTCTCCTTTCTCCCCAAACCTCACTGAACTGACGGTGAAGGAATACAGAGTGTCCATCTGCAAGGACAGAGGGAGGGGCACCAACAGCCGGTCGGTCATCTCCACTACTTTTAGTGCTTTTAGGGCGGCAGGCGGCAGCAGGCGGGATGAATGGGAATTGGACGTGGAGGTCAGATGTCCAGGTGACGTGAGTGTCCATAGCCCCGTCTCTGCAGTGAATGTTCAGGATGGCCTTGGGAAGTCAGTTTCCTCTTTCTAGACCTTGTTTCCCCATCTGTAATAGGAAGAGAATATACTGGATACGTGATTCTTCCCTTCTGGGGCCTGAATGACATGGATAGATACATCAGTTTTGATTCTGGCTCTGAGATGAGGCCAAGGCATTTTTCTTTTCTTTTTTTTTTATCCTCACTCGAGGACATTTTTTCCATTTTTTTGTTCAGATAGAGCGGGAGGGAGAGAGAGGAAGAGAGTGTGAGAGAGTGTGATAGAGAAACATTGATGTGAAAGGGACACATCGAGTAGCTGCCACCTGCACGACCAACCAGGGCCGGGGACAAACTGCAACCGAGGTACGCGCCCTTAGCGGGAACCGAACCCGGGCCTCTTGGGACCGCAGGCCGACGCTCTAACCGCTGAGCCACACCGGCCAGGGCGAGGCCAAGGCATTTTTCAAAAGCTCTATCAGGCCTGGCCGGTGTGGCTCACTGGTTGAGCGCTGACCCATGCACCAAGAGGTCGCTGGTTCGATTCCCGGTCAGGGCACATGCCCACGTTGTGGGTCTGATCCCCAGTGAGGGGTATGCAGAAGGCGGCTAATCGATGTTCTCCTTCATCGATGTTTCCATCTCTCTCTCCCTCTCCCTTCCTCTCTCTCTAGAATTAATAAAGAAAATACTTTAAAAGAAAACAAAAATCAAAAGCTCTCTCAGGAAACTTGAAGAGCTGTGGTTGGGGATGGTCTTCTAGGACCATTCAACTCTGACACGCAAGGATGCCCAGCCAGGTGTTCATCTGAAGCACGCACAGAGCAGAGGGGTGGCAGAGATCTAAGACCTTCATGGGGGAGATGCCGGCACAGGGGGCTTCCAAGGAGGCTGAATGGAAATGGCAGAAGGGTCTTTGAAGAGATAAAGGCACTGGAAATGGGCAAGTTCACAGAGGGAGACAGTGAGGAGGGCCCTACAGGCAGAGGTTACAGCGAAAGCAAACTCTTGGACGTTGGAAAGCATGTGGCAAATTCAGGGAGCTGCAGATGTTCAAACATGCAGGAGTCCACGGAGACATACCACGAGGAGTCACGAATGACCAGGAGAGTGGCCTGAACTTCATCCGCTTGACCGTGGACAGCCACTGCGCACTTAGGAGCTACTGGGTGTACAACCAAGTAGATCAGCTCAGCCAGTGCCCTATGAGCATATGGCCTCCTGATTTTAACTCACAGGTTCGGCCCAGCTGCTTTTTCTTGAGCACCTATTATGTGCTACTCATTGCAAGCACTGCGCACAGTGGCTTCATGACCTGGCCACTCCGTCGCTGTACAGTCGCTTCTCTTCCAGTCTTATCCTCACTCCTGTCACTTTCCTTTTGCCCCCACTGCAGCTCTCTCTGGCATTTCTTTCTAATTTTTTTTTCCTTTATTGATTTTAGAGAGAGAGAGGAAGGAAGAGGGAGAGAGAGAAACATCGATGAGAGAGAACATGGACTGGCTGCCTCCTGCACGCCCCCCACTGGGGATCAGGCCTACAACCTGGGCATGTGCCCTGACCAGGAATCGAACCAGCGACCTCTTGGTGCCTGGGTCAGCGCTCAACCACTGAGCCACACCGGCCGGACTGTCTGGCATTTCTGAATGAATGTGCTCCTTCAGGTCTCACTGTCCATACCCAAGCCCCTTCCTCGGTTGGGTGCTCCTTGCCATTCAGCCCTCCGTGGGACATGCCCACGAGGCACGTGTTGTCATATCCATCATGCAGCGGGTAGATGGCTCGGCCAAGTTCACACAGGGGCCGGTTTGCAGGACTGAGAATCAAACACAGGTGTGTCTCAGTGCTGTCCCAGAGCGCGGCGGTTCTGCTGGAGCTGGCCCGGTGGCTGCATCCCTGGATGAGGAGATGTGGGACCGGAGGAGCCACACGGGCCACTTCCTCTCACTCAACCTCACCAAGTCTCGGAGGAATACCTCCTACTTGTTTGTTTCAAGATCCTTATCTCTCCAGCACGTGGGGAAGTTTCCACACACTTGCACACCCTCAGAGAGGTGGGAGAGGTGTGTCAATGTGGTCATTGGACATGAGTTCCCACCTCTTCTCCCGGTGACTTCCCCACCTCTGCACCAGGGTCTGGGAAAACCCATTAAAAAAAAAAGCTCTATAAAACCCCTGGGCGCTGCAGGACGGGCCAGAGGAGAACACCTCCAGACTCATCAAGACCACACCAGTCCACGGAGGTCGGAGCCAGAAAGCTCACAATGAAGCTCATCACCTTGGCCCTGGTGTGCCTGCTGGTGGCGGGGGTGTGGCTGCAGGATGCGAACGGCTTGAGCTGTGAGTGGGGCCGAGTCCCTTTGCTTCACCTTGGGGAGGGCAGCAGCGCAGGCAGGTGCTCTGGGGTTGCGGGCAGGGCTCACTGCTCCTGTCTCCCCGGCTTCAGGATGAGTTCTTCCTGAAGAGGGGGAATGGAGGACTTGGACCAGGTGGGGGCAGAGGGCCAGTGGAGAACCTCAGGTGTGGGCAACCACAGACAGCTGAGCCACTACTTCTGTGAAAGGAGGCCCTGCCTCACCCAGACCCTGCAGACTGAGGGATGGGGGCTGTGAGGTTATTGGTCCAATTTGGGGGGGGGGGTGCTGAGGGGGCACCTGGCCTTAGCTCCATAATGCAGCAGGTAACGGGCAGAGGTCAGGACCCAGGGTTGTAACATTCAGCTAACCTTAGGCAAATCACTTAACTTCTCACACTCTGGCTTCTCCATCGTTAAAGTGGGGCTGATGAAGCCCACTTTCCAAGGCTGTTTGGAGAATCCCAACCTGATACTAAGTACCAGAAAGGGGCTTGCTGAACAGTAAAACCAGGAGGAAGGAGCTAGGATTGGGATGCAAGTCTTTTGAGGGTGGTGTGGAAAAGGGGGTGTACAAACTGGCAGAGTGGGGATCAGGGGTCAGGACAGAGCTAGGACTGGGGGAGCAGGGCATTCTGGAGAGTGAGTTGGGTAGCTGACTAGTTCCTGGATGCTCTCCCCTTGTCATTGTATCAGTTTGAACTCCATCTAATCCTGCCAAGGGTTCTCGGACCATGGTTGTCCTGCATGCACCAGACTCACAGGACCCCGGGGGATGAGATCCAGAGCCCTAGAACCCAAATATTGGGGCAGAACCCCACACTGCTGGTGGGGTGTCAGAACTGGAAGAGCCTTTAGAAATCCGTCTAGAAGGTCTTATCTTACAGAGGGGAGGTGTGGAGCCCAGGCGAGGGCTCATCTTGATCAAGGCCACCCGCGGGTTTGTGGGGAGCTAGCATCTGAACCCCAGCGTCCCGACTCCGCCTAAGCACAGAACTAGGTGGCTGATGGGACGGTGCTGCGCCAGGGCCCTGTGAATGAGGTTCCAAAGCCTGAGCCGGTCCTGGAAGGGTTTGTTGTTTTTTTTAAAACCATCCTGAAAGAGCAGAAAGAAATCCAGGTTGAGAAACTGATGCCAACCATTTCCGTTTTTCTGTTGCAGTGCAGAGTTCACTCTCCAAATGTTGCTTCAGTTTTTTGAAGAAACATATTTCCCCGAAGAGAATCCGGTGCTACAGAAACTCTAGTTCCTCCTGCTCCTACGAGGACGGCGTCATGTGAGTCTATTCCCTGTGGTCCAAAGCCTGACTTCCTCCTCCAGAGAACAGAAATCAGCGCACCTGGAATTAGCATTTTGGCCGCCAGGTGGCGATGTCCCGCCAGATTAAGGTTTCTAAAGCCGGGGAGTGAAGCCATCAAAACCTGGGTGCAGAGCTGAGTGTGGGCGCTAGGGGGAGCTCCGCGCTTCCTCGCCTCGCGCCAGGAGGGTGTGCCTGTGTTTCTGCAGTGACTTGTGTTTCTTGGAGCTCCAGGGAGCTAAGTGTTCTATCCTAACATTTTATGCTCAGAGGAAGGAATTGTTAGAAAACTCCAGGCATTGCTGCATAGTGAAAAGAGTGAGGGGGTCACGATCAGTTCCTGACTCCAGATTTGCCATCCTATAGTCTTCGGTGACCTTGGGCAGGTAACTCTTCTGCCCTGCATTATCCAGGTAGCAAGACCTCCTGGCTCCTTTGCACTCCTCGGCGGTGAAGTAGAGTAAGCAGGGGGCTGCACCACAGGGTCCTTAGGAACCTTGAAGGAGGAGCAGATATGTTCCCCTCTAACATATCCTAGGAGGGGAATTTTCCATGCTAGCTAATCCTCAGAATGTTTCCAGCCTTCAGCTCCACTGTGACACACCGATCGAAATCCTAGAGGTCTAGGAAATGCAATTTAATAAGCTCTCCCTGAAGCTTGGGTGTCCCTCCTGGGGTGCAAGCCCCAGGTCTGATGCAACGACTTCATGTTTCACAGAGACAGCAGTGTGGGAGCCCCCAGCAGTGAGGAGGGGGGATGGGACTTGTGTGTGGCACCCAGTGGGTGACTCGGTGCCTTTTTTGTTCTGTTCACAGATTCAGCATGAGAGGAGGCCAGAAGAACTGTGCCTTGAAGACAGACACATGGGTCGAGAACATTTTGCCTAAGATAAAACCATGCTAGCCAGTGGAACTGTGATCTGATTCCTTTCTACCCTGGACTCTCAAGACCCTGAGGCTATACGTCCCCCCGACCCCCAACCCTCCACCCTCCACCCTCTACCAGTTCTACACCAGCTTTGTTGGGTCATGGGGGGTCTGGTGGGTCCTGATAAGCTATGTTGTCACACTTTATATATTTAAATTATAAAATCTTCCATTCCTGCCTCCTTGTGTCTCTTAGACTCCATGGGGATTCCAGGGTGCACACTTGATGGGCATTGAGGAGCTGGGGCCGGGGACGGGGGGAGAGGGGAGACATGTTGAACCTGGTGCGGAGGGAACTGACTTCTTGTCAATAGGAGCCAATAAGTGATTGACCCCTCTCGGCTGACTGTCTCTGTCCGGAGCGGGGGGGGGGGGGGGTGACTGGAGCTGTGATGTAGATTCTCTGCTTCCAGACAGGCAGTGTGACAGCAAGTGGTGCCCAGGGCTAGGCCCACACATGGGTGCAGGATACCCTCCCTCCCTGCCCCACCCAGAGGGCTCAGGAACTGACTCTATCCAAAGTCACAGCTGCTCTAGCTGGAGGGGATGTTGTGAGGTGACCTGCTGCAAGCTGTTGCCAGCCCCATTTTATAGATGAGGTGACTGAGGGCTGCAGAGGGACACGGACAGGCCTGATATACTCAGCGAGTCAGGGTTGGATCCGGCGTGAGAGCCCAGGGCTCCTGCCTCCCAGGCCAGAACTCTTTCCCGTGTCCTAAGATGCCAGTGACTGCTTGGCACAGCGTGGCACAGCGTGGCACAGCGTGGCACAGCATGGCACAGGACGCCTCCTCACTGGACCCCCTGCACAGTGGGGCAGCAGGGCCTCCCCGGGAGGGTCCTGGTGAGTGTCCAGCACGGCTGGGTCCGTCAGATGGAGATGCCAGCAGCACTCAGAGAAGGAGGGAGCAGTCTGGGGAGAGCGGGGCGCCTGGTGCACATAGGAGGACAACCAGAAGCCCCAACTCGTGTGATGTGTGACTCGGGAGAACGGCAAGGGGGACCAGAGAACTCTGGGTCTCGGGCTGGCACCCCTTTAAAGACCAGCTTGATGGCTCTGGGGGGAAGGTCCCATGGCCTGTGTCTCAGGGCTTCTTCTTTCTCCAGGGTCCTCCATGTCACACGTCCAGCCCGTTCTTCCTACACTGCCCCTCCCCCTGCCCCAGGGCTGCCCTGCCTACGCCATTTCCTCTTGCTTGGGCCAGGCTGTTCTCAGTTCTCCCTTACCAACTCCATCCTGCCCAAGGCCACGGGCTACTCTTCCGACACCCCCTGACCTCCCAGGGCTCCACATCACTGGGCGTCAGCCTTCCGCCTTCAGAATGACCCGCCAGCTGCCGCCCTGGCACTGCAGCTCCTCCCCAGCGGCAGCGCGGCCTTCCCTTGATCACTAGCTTTCCATTCCGGGCCCACCTCTGACCACAGGGGTATTCCGTCCAGGCCCTCGCCCCTCTTGTCCATCCTGCACCTCCTCTGGAAGAACCTTGCTATGGCCCTGGCCGGTTTGCTCAGTGGTTAGAGAGTTGACCCATGGACTCAAGGGTCTTGGGTTCGATTCCTGGTCAAGGGCACATACCTGGGTTGCAGGTTCCACCCTGGCCCTGGTTGGGGTTGTGCATGAGGCAACCCATCGATGTGTCTCTCTCACATCAATGTTTCTCTCTCTGTCTCTCTCCCTCTCCCTCCCTCCCTTCCACTATATCTAGAAATCATTGAAGCCCTGGCTGGTTTGGCTCACTGGTTGGAGCATTGGCCTGTGGACCAGAGAGTCCCGGGTTCGGTTCCTGCTAGGGGCACGTACCAAAAAAACACAAAAAACATTGGAAAAATATTCTCAGGTGAGGATTAACAAAAAAATAAATAAAGAAAAAAAAATCTGGCTATGGCTATGCCCAGGGTTGATCTTGTCCTGTCTTCTCTGTCAAGTCCAATGCTAATGAGGACTGAGTCAGCTGGTGTCCCCTGGGGGTCCACTGCACGTAGTGTGTGTTGCTCCAGGACAGAGGACTGTCCCTGGTGGGAAGGGGCTTCAGGGAGACCAGTCAGAGGCTGATGCTGGGACTGGAGCCATTGTTCTAGAATACTCTGATCTGGTAAGCCAGGCCCTCCCTGACCCTCAGAGGAGCCCAGGCGAGTCACGGCCAGAGCTCACTACTTCCACATTTCTCCAGCACCTGCTGCCATCCACCTGAACTTTAGAGTGCCCCCTACTGACTGGAAGTTACACTCAAGGAAAACACCACCGTCAGAGATTTTAAACAAAATGTATGTTCCGCAAAATGTCGGCCGTCCTACAGTTGTGTTCTTCTTTCCGCAACAGCATGCTGAGCTAACAACCCCCGGTGTTCCCGGTGTCCCCAAGGCTCCTTCCTCCCTGGCTGCAGTAGCCCTTCATCCCCACCATCCTTACAGGCGGGGCCACCCCTGCAAGTTCGGCGGGAGAGAGACCCTGCCTGCAGCTACCGGAGGAGGGATAGCTCCGCACGGCCAAATAGCTCAGGGCCTCCCTTTAACAAATTGGTCAAGGGATTAAGCAAAACAAACAAACAAAAGAACAAAACAAACAAATACACAAAAACCTCACAGACACAGACAACAGAATGGTGATTACCAGAGGGAAAGGGGAGAGGAGGAAGGTGGGGGAGGGTGAAGGGGGATAAGTGGTGATGGAAGGAGACTTGACTTGGGCTGGTGAACATGCATTTCAATACACAGATGCTGTATCATACACAGATCCTGAAACCTCTGTAATTTTATTAACCAATGTTACCCCAATATATTCAATTATAAAAATAAAAAACAAAAAGGTTACTAATATTTAAAATAAACACCAAACCAGCAACAATTCAAATAATAACTATTACTGAAGACGAAACAGTTTTTTTTTTCCTTTATTGATTTTAGAGAGAGAGGAAGTGAGAAGGAGAGAGAGACAGAAACATCAATGAGCGAGAACATCGATTGGCCGCCTCCTGCATGCACCCCACTGGGGATTTGGCCCACAACCTGGACATGTGTCCTGACCGGGAATCGAACCAGCGACCTCATGGTGCATGGGTTGACGCTCAACCACTGAGCCACACCAGCTGGAGGAGACAAAACAGTTTTGCATCATGAAACACCCTATTTAAAAATAACAGTGCAATTCATCAGGGGAGAATAGAACAATTCAGTTTTCAGACCCTGGCTTTGTCTTAGCGTGCACGGCTGGAAGGGCTCAGGTTCTCTTTTGATCCAGGTATTTCACATAATTCTGGACCCAATTCTCCTTCGGGTTGGCACAGATGTTCTTGCCCAACTTGGTTCTGAAGCTGTGGGAAAAGAAATGCCGGCACAGTTAGGTGAAACACTTTTGGGGGTTCTACGCAAGAGAAGGAAAGGTGTGGAGAGCAGGGGCCTCTGGATGTATGTCGCTGTGTGTGCCACTCTGGAGGAAGGTGGTCTGGCCACCAAAGCTGCCACGAGGGTGTGAGCTGGCGCCCATTCCGATGGCACGTTACTGCGCCTGCTTCTAATGTACGAGCAGAAGGGTCTGGATTACACAGTCTGGTTAGAGTTTACCCCCCAAGTATAAGGCCCTAAATTAGTCTGATGTCTGTCTTCTGGGGCAGAACTTAGATCAGGGGCTTTGGGGAATGGGGTGATCCGAGGTGCGTTTGGAGGGGAGCAGGGGTTTCTACCCACACGACAGCTTTCCGGACACACTGGCTGGTGGTGACCCGATAGCTCTTTAGCCTCTGCAGAGGGATCTTCTTTTTGGTGTATGTGAAGCAGCAGGTGGACATGGAAGTGAGTGCATCTAGAAATAAAGCCACAAAGAAAAAGCCCGTTAGGAGGGGCTAGGTTTTCCTCGGCTTGCCCACAGCAGGGAGCGTCTGCGGGACAAGGAAAGCAAAGAGGTGGACGGGGTCGAACCCGCCCAGGGCCAGCGCTCCTGCCCCCGGCCCCGCGGCAGTAGGACCTAGAATATACGGCTTAAGACCTGAAGTCTGTTTTCTCAGTGATGTGCGGTGGGGACACATCACTGCTGACCTTGGAGGCCCCTGTGACAGATCTCGGGTACAGCTCCCAACACAGAGTTTGGGGAGATCAGCTGGGGCCAAAGAAAATGTCCTGGATTTGGAGTGGGCAGCTTGGCTTTTACTCTGGCTTTGCCGTGGCTGGGGGTGGGGGTGTGGGGCGGGGGGAGGTAGGACTCCTCTTGGCTCCGCTGTCTTTTCTTCTTTTTCTTTTTATCCTCACCCAAGGACATTTTTTTGCATTTATCTTCAGATAGAGCAAGAGGAAGAAAGCGGGAGAGAGAAACATCCACACATCGAGTGGTTGCCACCCACACGACCCCAGCCGGGGCCGGGGACAAACTGAGGTACGTGCCCGTAGCAGGAACTGTGACTCTGGTTCGCGGCCGACGCTCTAACCGCTGAGCAAACCGGCCAGAGCTCCACTTGCTATTTCTGAAACTAGATGTTCAAGTGAAGCTCTCGGGATCTCTGGTGGGCTGGGAAGTGGGGCTCTGGGACTCCCTAGAAGGAGAGAGAAACGGAGAAGAGGGAGGAGGGAGGGGCCTCACCTGGCTGAGCGAGCACCTGGGTGCTGGAGGTGAGCAGCAGGCACAGGACCACCGTGGAGACCCTCATGCTGCAGGGGGGCGTGAACCTCGGCCGAGAGCTGTTGCAGACCCGGCTTGTCTCAGCCTGTTCTCCTCTGGCCGCGCTGCCTGCCTTTTATAGGAAACACAGAGGGTGGGAGCTCCCGGACAGATGTTTGCCAGGGCAGGGTCATGGTCAAGTCCAAATGAAGAGGGTCCTGAATCTGCTGAGCTGATGGCGGGGCTGCCAAAGCGTTTTCCAGGAAATGCAAGAGGGAAGCTGCGGCCGCAGCCGGCGGGCGCTTCCTTCCGCCTCCCTCCCACCGCAGGGAGCCGTCCCCGGTTCCAGGGCCTGGCTCAGAGCAGCCCACCTGCAGCTCCGGTGGAGAGAGCGCAGAGGTACCACCCTCCTCATGCCCACGCCAGGGAGGTCACGGAGCTGCAGGGATGATGAAATAACCTAGTGTCGTGGGAAGGGAGCAGTGACCTGGCAGAGAAGATGTATCTGTTTACATATAGCCACCAAGGCGGTTTCACACTTGCATCCAGCGGCAGATGCCTTTTGTCAAACCTGTGTTTTTGCGCAAGTCCCATACTTGAGCCAAATCAAAACAACTTCCGCTGACAGGGGCTCCTCGCGTCGCACCCTGGCATCCTCTTCTGCACCTCGGGCACAGACGGCTCCGGCTGGAAAACCACCGGTGTGTCCAGGTCCCTGACCCGGACATCTACCGAGTTTCTCGAGCTGTTGATGGAGGGGTGTGCACCTGAGCTGGGCCCTGGGGCAGAGCTGCAGTGGCGGGGGGAGGGCGACCGCGGGGACCCCACAGGAGCCCAGCCAGGCCCTTTGCCTGGGTTCCTATTTGCCACCCTTGCTCCCAGTCTTGGCTTATTCTTCGTGCCTGTCTGGAATACTCTCCTCTCTGCTCCCTATTCTTAAGAATCTTTCCACTCCAGCAAAACAAGCCCAGTGAGAGTAAAAGGCAGAAACGTAAGAGCCAAGATTCGTGAACTAGAAAGCACTGATGCACCCAACGTTGGTTTTCTGACAAGCCTCTAGAGAAGCCAAAGCGCTCCTGAGACCGACCATGGAGAAAGGGATGAAGACGGGAACAGCCAACAGAGGAGGAGACACACCACGGGCTGCAGACACCGAGAAGAAAATAAGAACCTATGCCAGCAAATTTACTTCAGAGGAAACAGATGAACTCCCACCAAAACATAAGTTACCAGCTTGCAAGAAAACAAAAACAAAAAAGAAAAGTAACTCTTAAGTCTATTAAGGAAATGGAATCAGTACATGAAAATCTTCCCACAAAATACCCTTGGGGATCCAAGGGCTTTAACAACTCATTCCTCCAAAGCATTCCAAAAATGAATCATTTCAGTCTTATGCAATTTCTTCCAGAGAATATTAAAAAAAAAAAAAGTCTACACTCTTCAACTCGTTTTCTGCGTCTTATATAACTTTGACGCAAAAGCTTTTCAAGAACCAACAGAAAGGGAAAATTGCAAGCTTGTCCCCCCTGACACACATTCCATTCTTTTCCATCCTCCTGGGGCCTGGGCAGCTCACCTGTGTGCATCTCATGACTGGGATTGCAGGTCCTCTGACTTCAGGTGGGGTTTGGGCACTGGGGAGCCCCTCGGGGCACTGGAGAGAGGGAGAAGGGTTAAGGTGAAGTGCTTACTTCTCTGCTGTCTCCCCTGTGCCTCAGCCTGCAGGCAGCCAGCCCTCAGCTGAGGTTTTTCACTTCTCTCTGGGTGGCCCTCTCCATGCTCCCCCCATGACTCTCTCCAGCTTTGGGGAACAGTATCCTGTCCTTTTCTCTGCAGCTCCAGTGGTGGTCTCCACCCTGTTAGTCACCTCAGAGTGCCGAGGCGCCCTTGGTTTCTCCACACCCAGCCCACGTCTTGGTCAATGACATTTTTATTAAACCTTCCTCAAATCCTTCCTATTGAAGCATCACCGATTTCTTTCCTGGGACCCTGACCGACATGAGTTCGAGAGCCGGAGTGGACCCTGGCAGTATATCTTCCAAATGGGATTCTAGAAGGGGGCGGCTCATATATTTTAGGAGCACGGAAAATAACACCTGTTGGCATCATGATCACTTACATGATCCGTACGGCAGACCGAGGGAGCAAGCCCTCCCGATGGTTCTTCTGCGCACTCCAGTTTGAGCGGCATGGAGTTACAGCTCCCCCGTGACCGTCTCTCATCCACGGCAACAGCCACCAGAGAGCTGTGAACATGGCTTGCCGCCTCTCACACCTCACGACAACATCTCACAATGCCCCCAAAGGGAGGTGTCCCCTGGTCTTCCCCGGGAGTGCAGATAGGGGATGGCTGAGCTCTTTGTACATAGTAGATCCATTTCAACACATCCACCCCCCCCGAGCTTTTTGGACTCCTTCCTAATCTCCCAGGGAAGTTCCAGAATGTTCACCCTCACCGACCTCAGGCTTTTCTTTAAGTCTAGACTCCAGTCAGCCAATCTAGCTGAGCATTAACATCACTCCCAGGTGTTAATGCTAATACACGCAATTCCGAATTCTGGGCAAGTGGACCCATGTCAAAGGATTCGACCCACTGAACCTTGTATGTTCTTCACCACTTAGAACCCATCCCACACGCCCGTCCCAGACTTTCCTCCAAATTGAGTGGGTGAGTGCACATTCCGACGCTCCAGCTGTAAGGACCCCTGTCTGCCCCTCCCTCTGCTTCAGGATCCAATATTTCAGAGGAGAGTGCATCTAGGAGCCTGAAATCTGGAGTCAGCCAGACACAGGTTCAAGTCCTGTATCTGCTTAGTTATGTGATTCGAAGCAAATTGCTTAACTTGCCGAGCCCCTAAGAGGCATTGCTAGCTAATTATTGCCTCATCGTGATGTCGTGAGAGTCGAGTAAGATGATGCTGGGACAGTGCCCTGCACAGTGGCCGTGGATCCTGTCCTTAACCCAGCAGTGCCCAGGTGATGCTGACGCTGCTGGTCTGGGGACCCGCTGGGAGAACCGCTGCTATTGAAAGGGGCAGGAGAGAGAAATAGAACAGAGAACTAAAGATAGCGGTGCACTAGCCGCAGAGATAAGAAATGTGAATCCTCCTTGGCAGTGTTAGTCATGGGTGCTCTGTTCTGATTAGAGAAAAGCCCACTCTGACCGGGCTGGGAGGTGTGTGCCTTGGGGGCTTACCTCGGGATGCTGTCCATTCTCCTAACCTGAGCACAGGGGGCTACCTGACCTCATGGAAAGAGGAACAACCTGACTATTGGAACACTGGACTCCTAACTGCCACTCACTGGCCACCAGCCCCTGCAGCCCTGGCCCACATTCTTCCCCCCTTGCCTGCCATTGTTTCTCTACCCTTTATATATATATTTTTTTTATCTTCACCCAAGGACATTTTTGCATTTATCCTCAGATAGAGCGGGAGGGAGAGAAGGAGGAAGAGAGAGAGAAACATCAATGTGAGAGAGACACATCGAGTGGTTGCCACCCACACAACCCCAACCGGGGCCGGGGACAAACTGCAACCAAGGTACGTGCCCCTAGCGGGAACCGAACTCGGGACTCTCTGGTCCGCGGGCCGACGCTCTAACTGCTGAGCCAAACAGGCCAGAGCTGTTTCTCTACCCTTTGAAAGCAGCTGGCAAGCGGGTGGGCAGAGCAGATGTTGCAGGACGACCCACTGCTCCCCCATCCTGCCGGCAATGTTGGAAGAAACTCTCATATACGATTCAACCTTGTCTCTGCTTAATTGGCTCAAGTAGTGACAGGCGGCCCAGGCCGATGCGTTGTCCGGTTTCACTATAATGGAAAGGGGTTTGGATCTCAGCGGCAGGAATGGGCTCTGGGGCTTGTTAAGCAGCAGAGACAAGGTGGACACCGTTACCCCAAGAAGCCCCAGGGCCGGAGAGCAGCCGGAATCCGTGGTCATGACTAGGGGATCTCTAGACTTGATACAGATGGAATACTTCCTACGGTACTGCTTGACTTCAGGCGGAAAATGCTAGCTTTCATGTAGAATTATCAGACCTAAGCCAGTTCATAGACCTGAAGTTCCTTGATGGGTGGGGGGACCAGGTCCCTTTCAGGAAGGGCCCTGCCATACCAAGTCGCCAGATGAAATACAAGACACCTAGTTAAATTTGAATTTCAGATAAACAATGAATAATGGTGTAACACACATGCCCCTTGCAATATTTTTGCTAAATCTGGAAGTCCATCGCTTTATATTGTAAACTTTGCCCTAACCCTTTCCCAGCGGAGCCTGCGGCCGTATAACCACGGTGACTGCGCGCTGGGGACAGAAATACGGAGACTTGCTGGTAAAGGCTTTCAATGGATGGTAATCGCTGGAGATCCAAAACTTCACCCCGGCTCTCAACAGTGTGGGAGCTTATGGACGTCCTGCACCAATTGCTCGGTGATGTTTGGAGCAGAAGTTTAGCAGGTTCTTTTCCAACTCAATGACTTGATCTTTACACAACAGAAGTCTCCTAGAACTACAGAATTCCGTGATTTCGGAATCGTTGTGTCGCCGCAGAGGCTTAGCATCCAAGCGTCCCGGGCCACCTCCGTGCTTTGCTGTGTCACGCCACACGGCTCACGCCCTGGTGCGAACATGGTGGTCTGCAGAGGTCAGTTTACTGGCTGAAGTCTACGCTCAAAGAATCACTTATGGGGAGCTCTGCTCTATGTCAGATTAAAACTAAAATTGCTCAGGGCAGCAGAGCTGGGCCACCTTGTCCTCGTACTTCTTCCTGTCCGACTTATTTCGTTGTTCAGGGCACGAAGGCATATTGACAAAGGGCAACCTTTCCGCTTTCCAGAACAAATATCCAGCGGCTGGGGTGGCTACAGAAAAGGGAAGGAGCCAGCACCATCTGCGTTCCCCGGGAGACACCGAAGGGTCAAGTCCGCCAGCACCCGTCAGTGTTGGAAGACACCTTACTTTTTCCTCCACAGCTCCTTCTCTCCTATGCGTCTTTGCTAATAAGACCCCACTCCCCAGCAACAGTGTCCTTTCCACCCGGGCCGAGCAGGGCGTGTTGGAGCCCTGCCTTCAATGGCGTCCTGACAACGAAGGCTTCCCAGCCTACCCACATTCCACAAGGGGCCGGATCTCGCTTTGAAAAGGGTGACCGGTGACCGTCAGGGCAAGCCCTGTGACTGCCGTTCTAGGCAATGGAGTCATCTTTCTGAGCATTCTCTGGACTGGTGGCCAGTCCAACATGAATCCTGACTGATGCTGGAGGGATCTAAGAAGCCAGAGGGGCCCTCCGCTGTGGGAGAATCATCGTCATTTCTCTTCCGAACCAGAGAGGGGGAACCGGGATGGTCCCAGGCAAGCAGAGCTGTGTCTCCCTGCCCTCTGGGATCCTGGCATCTTACTATGAGTTCTGCGGTCCATTCAGGTGCTCACACCTTCCAGCTTTGGCTGCTTTCTTTTTAGGAAATTCCCAGGGTGAATGCCTAGGACTGCCCCATCCTATGACTACACAGATAGAAAAAGTCTTGTACTCGGCACATGCTGAACTGTGAACAAAAAAAGCAGAAGTTTTTCTGTAGGGGCAGCAATTTTGCAGGAACATTTTTACACCCCCCCCTTTTTTTTAATATATGCTGACTTAGGATACTTGGGAAATAACTCTTTAAAAAAAAAGAATAAAAATATTTTACAGCCATCAGCATTAAGATAAGACCACAGAAAAAAATATTGTTGGTCTTTCTTTCTTTCCATGTGAAAAGTTTAAGAATTTTACTAGCTACCGGTTAGTCTCAGGTTTGTCAACGTTATGTCAAAAACCTAAAACCTTGTCAAAGTCATTGTGTATCCTTCAACTGCTTAATTTCTGAATGGCTGAATAGTTATCTAGACTGTACCTTGCTACTGGGCGGGTGGTCTATTTCACTGGGATTCCAAGTAATGCTCTCATGTATGTAATAAATCATATATATATATATTTCTTTATTGATGTTAGAGAGACAGAGAGGAAGAGAGAGGGAGAGATAGAAACATGAATGAGAGAGAACATTGATTGGCCGCCTCCTGCATGCCTCCCACTGGGGATCAGGCCCACAACCTGGACATGTGCCCTGACTGGGAATCGAACTGGTGACCTCTTGGTACATGGGTCGATGCTCAACCACTGAGCCACACTGGCCAGCCTATAATAAATCTTTATCAGCATCACTGTTTACACCATAGACATGGAAGTTGGATTGCTGGATCAATAGTATGAACAACTTCAGACTATTAAAACATATTTTCAAATTTCCTTTATATACTTGTATATTTCACATATAATAAAATTCATAAATCTTACAGGTATAGCTTGATTACTTTTTAATCTATGTACATAACATGTAACCACCATTCACATCAAGACTGACATTTCCAACATCCCTGAAAGTTCTTTTGTGTCTTTTTAAAGTCAATGCTTCGTCTCCTAGAGGTAATCACTACTCTGACTTCCATCGAATTCATTGACTGTTCTCAAAATTCGTGTAAATGGAATCACGCGGTATGCACCCTTTTGGGTCTAAAGTCTTATGCTTAATACTTTTTAAAAAGTATATCATACACAAGAATAAACTCAGAATGGATCTGTCTGACTTACACACAGGTGTTTGCCCATCGGTGGGGCTCCTACCTGGCTTCCGGTTTTAATTCCAGGCACTTTGCACCCTCCCCCTCCCCTAGCCGACAGACAACGCCAAGTTCCCCAAAGATGTGGCTCCTAGAGCTGGCGGGGGCGTGTGGGGTCCTGTGCCAGGACCCCTCAACTCCTGCCTGAGACACAGTGCTGGTTCCACTTTTGCATGAGGTATCCTGATACCAGAGAGAAATCGACTTGCCCGAAGGGACACGGAGAGTCAGGGTCGGCTCGGGGATCAGAAGCCGAGCCTCTGGCCTTGTCGCGCTTCCCGGCGCACTGGAACCGCGGCATCTCCGCACAACGCCAGTGACAGGCCCCGAGGAGCGGGGTCCGCAGGACAGCAACCCTCTTTCCTTCAGCGAGGCATCCAGTCTTGGTGCCTCAGTACGGGGGCCTCCTCTCTGTGAAAGGAGCCGGCTGCACTCGAGAAGTACAAGGGGTTTTATTTTACGTGGCTATCCAGGAAAGGCAGTCCCGGGCCTTCAAATGGAGGCTTGCACGTTTTTAGGATTGGGGTTCGGGGGCTGGTGATGGAGATACATTCATTGTATGTCTCAGGGTTGCCAGCCCTCGGAATACATGGTTGCTTTGCAAGATGCTAAGAACAGGGTCTGTGTCCTTGGATCAGTTTTTCTCCTTCTTCCACAACGGTTAGCCTATCGCTCTGTCCGGCTCATTCTTCCTAACTTTGCCCCCATGACCACCGGCTTTAGATCCCCATTCTCCTGGGCACCCCTGGGGTGGCCGCGCTCAGGCCCCCCCCTCGCACTGTCTCCTGCACTCAGATGCCAGGTTGCTCTTCCCGACTCCTGCCTCTGACGGTGACACTTGCTGTCTTCTCGATGACTCACTGACTTCCCATTGGAAGTTCAAGAGCCCCTACGATCTGGCTCCAACCTTTATTTGTAAAACTCCCAACTCCTGCCCTGGCTGGTTTGGCTCAGCGGTTAGAGCGTCAGCTGGCGGACCAGAGAGACCCGGGTTCGGTTTCCACTAAGGGCATGGATCTTGGTTGCTGTGTGTCCCCGGCCCTGGTTGGGGTCATGTGGGTGGGAACCAGTCGATGTGTCTCTCACGTCAATGTTTCTCTCTCTCTCTTCCCCCCTCTCTCCCTCCTGCTCTATCTGAAGATAAATGCAAAAATGTCCTCAGGTGAGGATAAAAAAAAATCTCCCAACTCCTCTGTCTTTCCAGAGCTTAACCTGATGGGATTCCTTCCTCTGGTTCACTTCCCCCACCCCTAGGCCCAAACCAACTCTGAGGGATTTGGGGGTGGGGGGGTGCCACCCCTCAAGACCAATCCTGTTGAAGACTCATCTTCAGTGGAAAGCTTTGAGTGGATCTCTAGGTAATAAACATTTACTTTCCTCTTAGATTAGGTTTCATGTCTGGGGTATTACCCCGGGTTGGAGAGATACATGAGATGGTGAACACTTGGGATTTTACAGAGATGTTGGAAGAGATTAGGAAGGAGACTGGTAGATGCGAGACGAATGGACATAGACAACAATGCTGGGGGTGGGGGTGGGATGGGGAGGGGGTTGTTTAGAGGGGGGAAAGGAGACTCATCTATAACAAAAATAAATTAATACTAATTGAAAATAAAAAAGAAGAGGGAGACTTGGTGAAGTTAGGTGTGGTGAGGAAAGGTATCAAGACCCCGTTGAGTAAGGGCAGGTGGTGTTAGGGCCTGCAGCCAAAGGGCTGAGACAGCTGGATCTGTCCTGCTAGGTTCTCCCTCATCCTCAGAGGAGTCCCAAAGGTTTCTTACAGGGTGGCCCCTGGGCCCCAAATTGCCACCCATTGCTGCCATTTTCTCTCTCCCAGCTAAACGCCATCCCATAAACAATAAGACCAAGGAGTTTAAACTTATATATATATATTTGAAAATTCCATAGTTTTCTAATAACATTAATTTTATCAACAGCATTACATAGCATACATTTACAAAAGCCCCGATTTGCCAAAAAAAAACGGAAGTGGTTTGCTCCGATGGCCCACGGAGGACCACCCAGTACTAAAGGTACGTAAGAGGGAACAATGACATCTCACCGTGACCTTGACTGGGCTCACAGAAAGGGACACATCGTCGGATTTTACATTCATTAGGATTTAAGGCAGATAAAGTCAAAACATCAATAACTTAAATGTAATTAAATATTATTTCAGAAATGTTGCGCTTTAAATTATGAACCAAAGTGCCATTTTTTTGTACAGTATTATAAAATGATATCATTCTGCACCTGGGAAAGGTTGAGGGAAATAAATAAGGTTTTCTTGGGCTCCGACTGTCGCTCAGCCAGGTGTGATGGTTCCAGGCCTCAGGCGTGGGCCTTGCCGTCCAGGAGAGCCATGGAATTCTGGACCCACTTCTTCTGGGGGTCGGCACAGACGCTCTTGTCCATTTTGGTTATGAAGCTGTGGGCACAATTAGATGGATCACTTTGAGAATTTTGCCCAGGAGTGTGACCCATTGGCTCCCAAACATGATCAGCCTTGCTCTCTGGGTGAAGGGCCTGGGCTGGGACAAGAGGAAGGGGAAGGATGGGAGAACGAGGCCTTAAAAGGAAGCTGCCTCTTGCTCTCCCTGGGGAAGCCCTGCAGACTCCTGGCTGAAGACACTGGGGTGATCTGACCAAGCTCCTAGAATGGGAGCCTAGGGAGGGGGTGGCGCGTTCCTTCCCATGGGCTGTCTCTCTATGGGGCAAAGGGCCCTTTTGATTGGATGGTATATTTATCTGACTCATTTGGACATAACTCTCGACCTGTTTCCCTTGAGGGTGTCAGGTTCACTCACATCACAGCTTCATGGGGACACTGGGTATTGGTGATTCTCGTGTAGCTCTTCAGCTTCCGGATGTGGATCGCCTTACTGGCCATACCAAAGCAGCAGGTGACTGGGATGTAAACGGAATCTGGAAAACATTTTGCAAAGAACGAGACCGTTAGGATGTGCCGTAAGCATGCGTTTGCAAGGGAAGGAGAAGGCAGACACAGGAATAACACGAGTTCTGTCTAGGGCCCACCACTCCCAAGTTCAGTGCCTTCTGTTACCTGTGAGTCAGTGTCCTCTGTTGAACTATGGGGCCCCCCATTATTGACTGGGAAGGGAAAAATCTTGGGTAACAAGGCTAATTCTGTAGTGTTATTATAAGGGGTTACGGATCCAAAGCTTCTGACACTGGAAAGATAAGCTCTAAGACCTTGCTTCCAAGCTTTTTGTCCCCCTGGCTCTAGGGCCAACTCATGTCACATGCTGAGATGCCTCTGGGTCCTTCTCCTCTAGACACAGCCACTGTTCTGGAAACAATGACCATCATCAAAATCTGAACCCTCAAGCTGTTGTTTCTTCCTCTCCACTACTTCCCGAAATGTCCTTCACAGCCACAGTGACAAACGGTCCTTTATTCTGAGCCACATCCCCAAACAGTGTGAGGTCACTGAAGTGTTGGCTGCATTTCGTGTCCCAAAGCTGGTCTCAGGAAAGGTCAACGGGACTGGCCTCAGTGGCCTGGCCATCACATTCTGGCCGTGCCTCCGGCTAGCTAGGGCATGATGGCTCTCCCCATTGCGCCTCTTGGTTTCACTGTCTCCATCTCAGGCTATGCAACAAGCCCGGGGTGACTCCTGCTTGGATATGAGTACCTGCAGTCGCTAAAATGTCAAGCTTAGGAAAAGCAGGGCCTTACCTGGTTGAGCAAGCACCTGGGTGCTGAAGGTGGCTGTTGCCAACAGCAGGCACAGAAGAGCCGGGGAGACCTTCATGGTGGAGGGTGTGAGTGGGAGCTTCAGTGTGAGAGCGGAAGGTTTCTGGATTGGCCTCAACCTCTCCGTCCCTTTGGCTGCTCTGGCCATTCTGTCTGCCTTTTAAAGGAGGCAGAGAGCAGGGGCAACGTCATGATCAAGGATGAAGTAAGAGCCAGAATGTGCTGAGTAGGCACCAGGGCCTGGGTGATTTCCAAGCACTGAGAGAAGGAAACCGTGGCATTTCAAATGTTTGCTTAGACCATGTGGAGCAGAAGTGGTTGTGCCCGGCAAAGTATGGGAAGTGAGCTCATTAGATGATTAAGTGTTGTAATTTCTTTGAAATGGAAAATGATCTGTTGGAAAGGAACAATGGAAGCTAAAGTGATAGTGAAGAGTCAGGGTTTGACCCTCCCCAGGGCCCAGGCTGGGATGGGCCCTAAGCTTTGCCTGTATTCTCTATCAGACTAGGGTCCTTGACATCCTAAACTACTCAGGCCCCTTCGAAACCCACACAGGTAGCTCGATAGAACCTTGGGAGAATGGTGGAGCCAGGAATTTCCAAGTCTTAATGCCCTGGAGTCTTCTGTTGGGGAGCATAAGAACTGGACAGCACACGCTGGCCTTCTAGGGCGGTGGTTTCCAAATGTTTTATTTAGACACTAAGGTTTCTTTTCAAGTAAAATCATATGGAGAAGCCCAATAGTTTATGCAGGTTCAGGTAGAACAAGTCTGCTTGAGAGAGGTCTCTGAACTCCCTTCATTCACACACAGTGGGGCAGAGGGTGGGGGCACAGAGGGGAGAAACTGGGTTTGCAAACCATTGACCCTTTCCACTCCCCTCCCATCATGTCCATCATGTATCTACCATTACAATAGCGTACAGACATTTTACTGCCCCCAAAATCTCCTGTGTTCCACCTATTCATCCTTCTCTCCCCACCAAAGCTTGGGCTACTATTGATCTTTTCACTTGTCTCTCTAGGTTTGCCATACAGGATGTCCTATGTTATGTAGCATTTTCAGATTGGCTCTTTTATTAGGAAATATGCATTTCAGCCTGGCTGGTGTGGCTCAGTGGTTGAGCATTGATCCATGCACCAAGAGGTCACCAGTTCAGTTCCTGCTCAGGACACATGCCCTAGTTGCTGGCTTGATCTCCAGTTGGGGGTGTGCAGAGGGCATCAGATGAATGTTTCTCTTTCACACCAATGTTTCAGTCTCTCTCTCTCCCTTCCTCTCTCTCTAAAAAGTCAATAAAAACATTTTTTTAAAAAAATATGCATTTAAGTTATCTCCATGTCTTTTTATGGTTTGCTAGTTCAGTTCTTTTTATTGCTGAATAATATTTCACTATATGTATGTACCACAGTTCATTTATCCATTCATCCATTGAGGGACACCTTGGTTGCTTCCAGTATTTGGTAATTATGAATGAAACATTTAAACATTTATGTGCTTTTGTGTGGGCATAAGTTTTCAACTCATTTGGTAAATATCTAGGCGTGTGATTGCTGGGTCATGTGGTAAGGCTCTGCTTAGCTTTGCAAGAAGCTGCCGGATGGATTTCCAAAGTGACTGTACCATTTTACATTTCCCTAGCAATGAATGGGAGTTCCTGTAGCTTCACATCCTCATCAGCCTGTATTATTGACAGGTTTGGGATCTTAGCCTTTCTAATAGGTATTGGCGGTATCTCATTGTTGTAATTTGTAATTCCCTAATGACATATGATGTTGAACATCTTTATATATGCTTATTTCCTTTCTGTGTATCTTCCTGGTGAGATCTTTCACCTATTTTTAAAAATTGGGTTGTTTTCTTATTCCTGAATTTTAAGAATTCTTTGTATATTTTGGATATAAGTCCTTTAACAGATAGATGTTTTACAAAGGTTTTTCTCCCAGTCTGTGGCTTGTTTTCTCACGCTCTTAATGATGTCTTTCAGAGTAGAAGCTTTTCACTTTAATGAAGTCCAACTTACCAATTATTTCTTTCATGGATTATGCTTTTGGTGTTGTTATCTATGAAGTCATCACCAAACTCAAGGTCACCTAGATTTTCCCATATGTTATTTTCTACAAGTTTTATAGTTTTGGATGTTACATTTAAGACTATGATCCATTTTGAGTTCATTTTTGTGAAAAATGTAAGGTCTGTGTCTAGATTCTTTTGGCATGTTTATCCAGTTGTTCCATAACCATTTGTTGAAATGACTACTCTTTCTCTATTGAATTATCTTTGCTTCTTTTTCAAAGATCAGTTAACTATATTTGCGTAGGTCAATTTCTGGGCTCTCTATTCTGTTTTACTGATCTTTGTTTATTTTTTTCACCAATATCACACTGTTTGATTAGTGTAGCTTTATTTATTTATTAAAATTTTTTTTTTCTTTATTGACTTTAGAGAGAGGAAGGGAGAGAGAGAGAGAGAGAAACATCGATGACAGAGAACATTGATTGGCCACCTCCTGCACACCCCCCACTGGGGATTTGGCCCACAACCTGGGCATGTGCCCTGACTGGGAATTGAACCGGCACACATCTTGGTGCATGGGTCGATGCTCAAACACTGAGCCACACCAGCCAGGCTGATTAGTGTAGCTTTAAAGTAAATATTGAAGTTGGGTAATGTGAGCCCTCTGACTTTGTTTTCTTCAGTATTATGATAGCTAATCTTTGTCTTTCCATATAAATCTTAGTCACTTTGTTGACATTCACAAAATAACTTGCTGAGATTTTGATTAGGACTGTGTTGAATTTATAGATTGAGTTGGAAAGAACTGGTATGTTGACAATATTGACACTTCTATTCCATAAACATGAAATACCTCTCCATTTATTTAGGTTGTCTTAATCTTTCATCAGAGTTTTATAGTTTTCCTCACATTGATATTGTTCATATTCTCTTAGATTCATTCCTAAGTACTTAATTTTTTGGTGCTTTTCAGATTGCAATTGTTCATTGTTGGTATATAAAAAAGTAATTGGATTTTATATGTTAACTTTGTATCCTGAAAACCTTCTATGATCACTTAATTACCGGAGGGTTATTTTGTTTTTGGGTATTTTGGTTGATTCTTTTTTCTGCGTGGACAATTATGTCTTCTACAAACAAAGGTCGTTTTATTTCTTTCTTCCCAGTCTGTATATCTTTTATTCCCTTGTCTTATCTTACTGCATGAACTAGAACTTCCAGCATGATGTTGAATAGGAGTGGTAAGAGGGAATACCTTTATTTTCAATTTTAGGGGGAAAGCATCTTTTCTCACAATTAAGTTTGATGCTAGCTTTAGGTCTTTTTATTTTTTAATTAATTTATTTTTGTTACATAGGTTTCTCCTTCTTCCCCCATTGACAACCCCCCCCCCCCCCACCCCCAGCATTGCTGTCTATGTCCATTGGTTATGCTTATATGCATATAAGTTCTTTGGTTTATCTCTTTCTTCTTCCCCCTTGAGTAAGTACCCTTCTATTCCTAGTCTGCTGAAAGTTTTTATCATAAATGGGTATTGGATTTTGTCAAAAGCTTTCTATTGATCTCATCCTATTGATATGATCATAAGATTTTATTTTTAGTTCTTTAGTCTGTTTATGTGATGAATTACATGAGTTGATTTTCAAATGTTAAACCCACCTTACATAGATAAAATAAGTCTCACTTGATTGTTTTGTATAATTATTTTTATACATCATTGGATTCTATTTGCTAATATTTTGTTGAGGATTTTTGCATCTGTGTTCCTGAGATAGGTCGATAGTATTCCATTGGTCTTTAATTTTCTTTTGTTGTAATATCTGTATTTGGTTTTGATCTTAATGTAATGCTAGACTCAGAATAAATTAGGGATTGTCATCGCTGCTTCTGTCTTCTGGAATAAATATTGAAAACTTGCTATCATTTGCTACTTAATGTTTGATAGCGTTGACAAGCGACATCATCTAGGTCTGGTGCTTTCTGTTTTGAAAAGTTATTCATTGTTATTCAATTTCTTTAATAGATATAAGCATATTCAGATTATTGACTTCTCCTTGAATGAATTTTGGTGGATAGTCTCTTTCAAGAAATTAGTTTAGTTTTTCTAAGTTATCAAATGTGTGGGTATAGAACTGTTAATAATATTCCCTTGTTATCCTGTTAACGTCCATGGGATCAGTAGTGATGGCCCTTCCTTTCCGATGCTAGAAGTTTATCGATTTTAATCCTCTTTCCCAAGAACCAGCTTCTAGTTTCACCGATTTTCTCTATGGTGTTCCTATTTTCAATATTATTAATTTCTGCTCTAATTTTTATTATTTTTCTTCTACTTGCTTTAAATTTATATAGCTCTTTTTTTTCTAGTTTCCTAAGTATTGCTTTGCTGAACCCCACAACCTTTGATAACTTGTATATTTATTTTTATTTAGTTCAAAATATTTTTGAATTTCTCTTGAAATATCTTCTTTGACCTATATGTTACATGGAAGTATGTTATTTAATTTCCAAATATTTTGGAATTTTCCAGTATCTTTCTGTTATTGATTTGTAGTCTAATTCCATTAAGGTCCAAGAGTACACAGTGTACAATTTCTCTTCTTTAAAAAATGTTAATCTATTTTCTGACCCAGAATGTTTTATGTGATCTTGAGAAAAATTTGTTTTTTCTGTTGGGCGAATTTGTCTACAAATGTCAATTAGAAAGCTGATGGAACCTCATCATTAGTGTCTCCATTCAATTCCATAGTTAAGAGATTAATAAATAAAAATGTGTAGATATCATTAAGGCTCTTAAACAAATTATAGAATAATCACATTGCTAAAAAATTTGCATCTTTACTAAAATGTGAATTTATGACTCTTAAAAAATTGTGACAGTTGCTAAGAAGATATTTATCTTGTTAAAAGGGAAAGTTAACCTGTGGGACGGTGGTTTCCTCTGTGACATCCATTGAGAGGCAGGAATGGCCTGCCCTAGTCGGAGTGGTGGTGGAATAGTTCTCTACACATGTAAAACTCATGAAATTGTACACTTGACATTTCTGTACTTTACTGTATATGTTATACTTCAATATAAAATAAATAAAAATAGCATTATTTTGCTCATATGTTATTTTTTTATTTTTATTTTTTAA